CTGAAGGCCTCATCCAGTCGCCCACCAAGGCCTCCTCAGTTTGTATTCCCTTTTGTTCCTTCATGCAGCATCCCTCTGTCCTTCAGCTGATCTCGTCATCCTAGAAACTTCGTTGAATGTCCACCCCTCCGGCCTTGCCCCGTCGCTGCCGTACCCCTAACTGTGGAGGTCGAGAACGCGACTGTGAGCTCAAGACCGAAGCACTGATGCCTCAGCCTTTGTCGAACGCTCTGTTGGTGTGCCGGCGAAATGTCGTACGTATTTTATCGGTGGCGATTCGTCGCAGGTCGAATTGTTGGTGCCCTTGGCCGAGGTGAGGACGCATCTAAGGCCGGTATTTCGACCGTACCCAGTCGTTGAGGTTTGTTTTTTTTTTTTTTTTTTATACATTCGGTCCTAAGCTAGAGCTATGTTTTCCACATTGGGTCAAGGACCGGCGGATCCGGCAGGGTTCCCTGTAATTTTTCTACAGCCTAACTCATTCCAACCTCGTGAATCGCTACCAAAAGTGCAGCTGATTTAAAAAGAACGAAAAATCACAAAAATCAAAACAACTCCGAATACCAGAAGATTCCTCCATATTGGACCCAGTAAATGCGCTCCTCACACATTCCCTCGTCCGTCACACCTTCCAAATGACAAAATTTATTCAATCTCCGCTGAGAGCAAGAGATAAGTTAGCAGGCACCTTTGATCCAGCCGGTATCCTGCTATTGGTTAGAAGATGCCCCAAAAGGGGACATCGTCGAGGTTGCTGTGTCCTCAAACTTCTTCTTCAGATCCCAGAGCTCCGAAACCTGTTGCCTCGGCCATCGAGACATCCTTCGCCGCGGCGACGATCGCCTCTTCGGCCTTTTTTGCTGCAGCCCTAGCTCGTGCCACCTTCGCGAACTCCCCTTGTTCGGCCACATCGAATGTGGCGAATGCACGCGAGCTGCTCTTTGGTCACCGGTCCGGATTTTTTTGGTCTGACTTGGCAGGCTCGAGAATCCGATCGGTGAGGTCCCCCACAGTTGCGACAGCGTGTGAGGGCCTTGCACTCTGTTTCGGAGTGCATGTTTGATCCGCAGTTCCAGCAAGCCGGAGCGCGGGAGCAACCACGGGTGGCGTGGAAGCCCAAACAGCGTTTGCACTGTTCAATTGATCGACGAGGCTTATGGATGGTAGCCATACCCGAATCGTCGAAAAGGCGGAAGCCTGCACGAGGGGCTTCGTCCCGGTGAAAAAGGGCATGCCAGTTTCGATAAGGCGATCCAGGCCTACATGTCCCATGAGGTCGGACCTGGATTGGATACGCGCTGGTCTCAAGGAAGATCTCAGCGGTGACACTTGCAGCATCGGTCGCTACGGGGCCGTACTGTGAAACGATACTTACAGGTACGTTCGGTATCTGTAAGGCGACAAGATCCGAAGATGCTTCGAGTTTGGCGTTTTCACTTGCCAGCTTCGGAGAGACATCTAGGATCTCTTGTCGTATTTTTTCGTTCTTTGCTATAATAGCAAAGCCGGTCTCTACTCGATGAATCGAGGTTATATCATTGTAAGAGAGATTAAGCGTGACCGCTACCTTACTTTTCACAATGTTGTTTGAAAGATTCCGCCATGGGTGCTCCTTTTCCAGGCGAAGGAACAGTCGCTTATCGACTTTCGCCTTGGGGGTTTCTTTTGTTGGACCTTTGCCGCAGGTCGCGGCACATCCTTTGCTATAGGAGCTGCATTTTGTCGCAGTCCATTTTTGGCCACCATGGCCCAGGTGCTTTTTACAGGCAGCACTGGGACGGCGGGTGTTGTATTGCTCCTGGCTTCTGGAGCCCTTGTGGTCGGGTTCGCAGGGCGAGGAGGGAGGACGGGTGGCGTGATGGCCGGGCCCGTGGCCATGTATTGCGCAATGGCGGCGCGTAAGTAGACTCTCATCGAGTCTACGAATTGTCTATTTGACCCGTTGGTCAAAGGGAGGAGGGTGGCTTCGACACCAGAGATGGCGGCGGAGCAGAGGGCCAGATTTGCCGCTGTTTCGGCGGCGCGTCGTTGTTCAGCTTCGACTATTGGTCGGAGCTCGAGGGGACACTCTGCTTTCGTGGTAGCTTTTGACTGCGACGTTGATGTTGACGCTGCTATGGGTGCAGCGTTTTCCGACGGTTTTGACGCTGTTGGAGGAGATTTTGACGATTCTCCCGTCCCGTGAGGGACGGAAGATGGTTTGGGAAATTACTCAATAATTTCAACAGACCCGATCATGTCAGTATCGGGCTCAGTGACGGCGGGGAGGGCTTTTTCCTTCCCTTAAGCTGAGACCTTGCTCATCTCCGCGCATTTCGGAGACTGGGCAAGGTCAGGTAATTTTTCGAGAGCCCCCGGGCGGACTCGCGTGTTGTCCAACTTGGCCTTGGGACGCTTTCTACGAACAGGTGGCATGGTTAAGATGCTAGCGACTCGATGAAAATTTACTGAAGGAATGCGACGAGCGCGAGAGGGATGGATATGAGGAAAGGGTGAAGATTCGAAATTTCGAATTTCAAAAAATTGTTTGTTTGTTTATTAACGTGCTAGGTGAAGTAACTACCGTCGCACTCCTACTGGAGCTTGAGCACGAGTAGGGTCGGGCCGGATCAAGTTAACTACCGTGCAGTACAAATGCCTCGTCCCACTTAAATGACCGGAACCATGCCAAAACGCATCTATGTGTTGAACCATGACGAATTCAGCAGCCCAGAATTGAAAACAAAACAAAAACTTTCCCGCGAAATCCCGCATTACAAAAGAATAACTTGAACAATCTCCCTTCCATCTTTCCGCCTCAGCCACTACGCGCCTGAGCCTCCATTCCAATCTCTCTGTCCATGCCAAACCACCTAGGCTTCTGTTCTATCACCTCCGAGTCACAGGTATCCCTGCCATCCCCCGACTAGCCTCCGCGTATATTCCACTCTCCTGGACGTAGTCCCTGAACAGCTGCCATCCCCTTGATCCGAGCATTGTTTCCAAAGTCGTGTGTCGGGACGCCCGGTGTAGAAGATAGGTCCATACCGTGCTCGAACATCCACTCGGTGAGCACCTGGCCGTCACCGTGTAGCCTAGTAGCCATTGGCTGCCAGTCGGTGTGAACAGCATTGTAGTCTCCGCCAATAACTGTAGGTCCGGATGGAGCCCATGATAGCAGCGGCAAAAGGTCTTCTCCAGGAGCGCGGTATACGGAGACAAATGTGACTCCTTCTACCTTTACTGCAGTGAGATCTGGTGATGTCTCGCAGATTGCTTGCTGTTGGCAGTTGATCCCCTTTCGCGTGTAGATGAGGGAGCTTGGCCTTGAAGAGTTAGCAGCGACACGGGGAGGCAAATGCCTATCGAATCCGGGATGCGACTTGGTGAGCCAGAAGCCGTCCTTTTGTTTAGTGCAGGGTTCCTGGATGAGTAGGACATCGGTTCCTGAATCCCAAGCGGATTGCAGGATGATGTCCGTAGCCGGGTCTCCTCTGCCCAGATTAGCGCAGAGGAACGAGATTGTTGTTGCCGTTTTTTGAAGCTGGGTTGTGTTGTGGTCCCTTACGGGCATTGAGCTACGTTTATATTTTCGTTTTCAGCAGTAGCCTCGGTGGCTTTCTGCTTTGCTTCCATCTCTCTGATAGAAGCATTCCTTTCTTTTTGAGCCTGCTCGCGGATCACCGACAGCTGGTCCCTTGTGCGTTGCACCGTCTTCTCACCAGCCCGTGTCGGCCTAGCCATACAGTTAGGCTCAGTTGCAGCATGTGGCCCGTGACAATTGATGCACCTTGGAACGGCCTGTTTGCACTCAGTAGCTTTGTGCTCAATTGAGCCACAGCGGGTGCAGCGCTCTGCTCGTGAACAAATTTTAGTTGGGTGGTGTCCCCAGCATCGGTTGCATTACGCAATTTTGAGCTTGCGCTGGAGTTCGTGAAGGCGCCCGCTTTCTTCAAACAGTCTTTCTCCAAGTTTCGGTTTTCCTGTTGAGAAGTGCAACACCCAGTCCGTTGACGGCCTGGCCATGCTAGTAGCGAAAGCACGAGCTGAGGTTGATCTAATTCCTGTTTTGAGAGCTGCTTCTTCTATTACCATCTCTGGTGTCACTATGGTGGGCCCTTCCAGAGTGTAAAGCTTGTCTGAGATATTCGGTGCCAGGACTGATATCCAGTTGGAGGCGGCTTCCAATTTCATTTCTGAGCTATCTAATATGGCTCCTCCTGAGAGAAGTGCACCTCTAGCTCCTTCCCCTTCGGCTTGTATTGCGAACCCTGAGTTCACGACAGTGACCTGTTTGATTGTCGAGTTGGCCAGACGCAGCTTGCTAGCTAGGCTAATCTTTACGGAGTGGGGTAACATACGTCTCCACGGGTGGTCAGGTCTGAGGCGCGAGAATACGCGCTCGTCAGGTCGCTGGGGGTTTGTTGCTGGAGCTTTAGGCTTCGGCGCGGAGACGGGCCTCACTGGCACTGTTTTGAGTGTTGAAGTTGGAGCCACTTGGTTTGCTGGCTTGTTTCTTTTTCCCAACACCTCGGTCCAAGATTTCTCTGTAGCGTTGTTGTTGGTTTTGTTTGAGCCCTGATTGGGCTGGAGAGTTGCGGTTGTGGCTACCGGCCTTTGTGGTGCCGGTCTATTCTTTTCCCTGGCAAGGATCAGCACTGGACGTGTGACGCTTGCAGGACTTTGTTTTGGAGGCTCTGTAACTTGAGCCGGGTTAGATGTGTTAGTATGGCCGCTTACAGCCTTTGGGGGAGCGTTGGCGTCTGCTTGAGATGGGTTGCCCCATAGAATTTCCAGTATCTTGCCCTGAAGGATCAGTAAGTCCTGATCAAAGAGTTTTCGAAGTCTCTCGTTAGTGACTAGTTCCAACAGCTTGCAGAACCCGATGATGAAACGCTCTGCTTGTGCAGAGCGCGTCTGGAATATCCTGCCCTGTTCGGCGAGGAATTCGGTCGCGACAATTTGAGGCGACTTAGTTTGTTGGTAGGGCGAGCTTCGATGAATCGCCTCGTAAATTGGCTCTACAAATTGTTGGGTGGGTGGTTGTGATGGCGATTGTGGCCCGTTAAGGACCATTTCGACGTCTTAACGCGTCGAACATTGAGTGGGGAGGGGGGGCCAGGGGCCAGCCTCTGCGGAGGACTGGGGCGGCATGGGTGATTGAGAGATGAATGTGTCAGTAAAATTTCGTAGGTAGAATGCGATAATATCACTTGTGTAAAGATTTCTCCTGGCGAACAGCTGGGGCGTCCAGTCGTTGAGGTCGTAAAGCGCATTGATACGAGTGACTACCGAAGTGAAACTAAGTACAGAATTTGTAGTCACGTGCGTACCAACAATGTGGCCTACTTGATAGCCCCAATTATTCTAAAGTCCAACAAATCTCTATCTTTACTCAGTAACCGCCTGTAGCGGCACAGTACAATGTTACTAGTACTTCATAAAGTCAGACCCCTGTTAAGACGATCCTCGTTAAAACGATATTGCCGTTAAGACGATATTTTTTCCAGAACGGACTTCGTTCCCATACATTTACCGATTACACGATAAACGTTCTTCAGCCTCTGAAAATCGTTGAAAAGAGGGTTTTTTGCTACATAGCTGCTAAAAATGCCGCCACAAAAGGGAATTTCTGTGGAGCAATGATATTCTCGGTATGACGATATTTTTCACTGCCCCGATTACGTCATATTGACAGGGGACCGACTGTAATTGGGCAGTAGAATGGAACGTGCTACCGAGGGATAGGTATTCTCAACCTTTACCTATAAAAGACCTAAGTTTGGCCTGTTTCGAAAACCTTACTGTCGGGGTAACATAATCACGTCAAGAATTCGTTTTAATAGTCTTGACCTGTTATAGTTATCGTGAGAAATTTATAGACTTTATTGTTTACAACTATTCATGTATAACAACAGGCCTGATAGTTCAGTGGTAGAATTCTTGCTTTGGGACCACTAATGTAAGAGGTCTCCGGTTCGATCCCGGATTAGGCCCGCAATGAAGAAATCTTTGATGCGAAAGACCACGGTGAATGCGACTGGTGAACTAAATCTTTTGGAAATGTCAAGTCTTTAAATTTCGCTACAAGTCCACACATAGATTATGTCGCGCGAGTTATGATCAGGTGAGGACTTGTGAGGGGCGGTACTGTTTGAGGGAAGCTGTATGGGAGGCTTAGGTGGGGATATACTACTTGTTAAGGTATCCTTGGCCTGTAGGCAGAGAGGACGGAGGGCAAGACTAAACACCTGTACGCGGTGTCCTCTACGAACCTGGGAGAGAAATATTCTCCCAGAGCCGAGTCAAGTCAAACTTCGCAATACCGAACAAGTTGGCCCACGAGGCAATGATTCAAAATACTCCACCGTATCAATCTTTCACTCCCAACGAAATCGATTCCTACCTAAGCTCCATCAAGCTTACAAGTACGACCTAGTACATCCTCATTCCAATGACCACACCTCTTTTCGACTTTCTCTGGCATTAGCTGGTCGCCAGATACACGCCCACGCCGATATTTACACCCGATGGAGGAAGCAAAGCGTGGCGCACAAATCTGGAAGACAGCTCCTTGGGATGGATGTGAGAGGGATCAGGACAAGTTGATAAGATGATGCAGAGGATTGGATACAGTCTCGACGGGTGTGGAATTTTGAATTTTGGAAAGGAGTTTTTACAAATTGAGCTTTGTGCGTGCCAAGTCTTCGGCTGCGAGAGTGCAGGCGACACTATAACCATGGCCATGGTTGGATGGTGCGGTGGTACATCGTCTTGGTCGGTCTGCCAAGTAGAGTCTGGATAGCTTGGACACATATCCGGCTAGAGGCAGTAGATCGCTGGTTCAAATCTGGCAAAACACAACCACATTTCTCGCGGCGCTGGTATGCATGAATGGCGAATTCATGCTTGGATAACTAAAGCTATTGAAATTCCCTCTGGTGGGTACTCACGGAGGAGGGACAGCTGTTTGTGCAAGCAACCATATCTCGTAGTGGTATTTGCGAATGAAATCTAAAGTATGAGTGTCTCTAACATCAAAAGAGTCATCCAACATGTTTACATAGCACCGGTCATGTGTCATAGCTAGATAGCTGAATACACATTAAATGATTTAAAAAAAAAGGCAGAGAGGACCTTCGTGTCCTACATAGTCATAGACTCAGACAGGACAAAAAAATGAATCAATAATATGTTGCGCGAGTCCTGATTGGCACTGACGATTAATTGAAGAATTTGATACAGAATTTTGTTGAGCTCTCTATCTCTCTCTCCAGTAAAATATCGAAATCTCGGATACTCACTGAGCCAAGTTTAGTTAAATGTCGCGATATCAAAGAAGTTGACCCACGAGGCAATTATTCAAAGTACCCCACCATGTTAATTTTTCACTCCCAATGAGATCGACTCTAATCAAAGCATCAGCAGGTTTACAAGTGCGACTCAGTACATCCTCATTCCAATGAACACACCATTCCTCGACTTTCTCTAACCTCAGCTCGTCGCTAACTACACGCCCAAGCCGATTTTTATACCCGACGACGGAAGCAAAGCGTGGTGCACAAATCTGGGAGACTGTTCTTTGGGATGGACGTGAGAGGGGTTAGGACAAGTTCACGAGATGATGCAGAGAATGGATACAGTCTCGACGGGCGTGAACTTTCGAATTTTGGCAAGAGTTTTACGAATTGAGCTTTGTCCCCGCCAAGACTTCGCTTGCGAGGGTGCAGTTGACACTTTGAATACAAGCCAACGATGTAAGGAGTTGTGGTCTGCCTGCTGGTGGTGTTCCCTATTATAGTCTGAGTAGCCTCGACACCTGTTCCACTTGGGAAGGACATACCTAAGACCATATTTCGCGCGGAGAAAAGTTGATAGACGATGAAGGCATGTCTGGATAGCTCAGGGTGTTTAAGATGTTCCCCTGAGTGGGTATTCGCGGCTGATGGTTGACTTAAGATGAAGAAAAAGCCACCATAACTTGGCAGTGGTATTTGCAAATGAAATCCGAGGCATGAGTGCTCTTCTTGTAAATTGAGTCATCTGTTGTGTACTTTTCTTTGATATTGCGTTATAGCTAAGTAGATGCATATGCAATTAGAATCTGATGCATAGAAATAATTGGCACAAAGATCTCTCACATCCTTCCTTTCTCGGTTAGACAAGGTGATATTTTGAATATTCACTAGTGTGAGAGAGAGGTATATGCGAATTTGATTTCATTTGGCCCGATTTGGCGCCTCAAGGCCCCTGCAGGTGTCTGCGAACTCTCGTATTTACACAGGAGGAAACAATTATGGTAAAAACCCCTCAACTTTTCAATCTATATACACTTTAATGTTGTATTACCTTCAAGAAGTGCACTAATACTGTCATGTCCAGGGGGACATTTCTCAACACCTGTCAGTGGTGTCCCCTACGAATCTCTAGCTCTCACTGTAGAGTCTACAGAGCCGATATTGAGTAACAAAATCCTCACTCCGACGAGGATTCCCAATCGCTTTCGCGGTCTGTATCGTCTTTATCTCACAACACATTTCCCTATCACTATTGTCATGAAGCTAACCACGATCAGATTAGATGGTAGGGTCGGAGCCCTTCTCATCACCAACCCCTGATTATGGAAGAAAGGCCATCCGATGAGTTTCCGGAGCGTACCCAGCACCCGATACGGCCATGGTGGATTGGACCACGTCGGCCTCGAATGTTTCAATGGAGGTAGATATAGATGAATATGCGCACCTCATGTGATCCCGGTGTCTAGGCCTCGCCTGGCTGGGGCTACAGGCTTTTTGAGACTTTTTCCCGCGCACGCAGTCTCCATTGCTACCATTTTTAATTTTCTTAGGTAGAAGGTTCCGTGGAAAAGGTGGCAGAATTCCACGGGTAAATACTGAGCTGAATTGCTATTCATCAAGGGGAATATATCAATGATCTTTCAAGTAATAAAAGAGGACAGGAGCACTGTACAAGGTATGGCCTGGGCCAGAGAGGAGCACAATGTGCTAGATAGTCATAGACTCAAGTAGTACAATAAAAACAGACACACACACACTGTCATGTCCAGTGCGGATAAAGTCCACTTCATTGCTACTGGCAGCAGATCATCTTTTACCTGCTCCTCTCTCTCTTCCTCATGGTGATCTCTACTTCAAGCGTCAGTCGAACCTGCTCTAGCCTTCCTTCCTACTGGATCCACTTTCTAATTCTTGCACTATCTTTCGGATTATTCATCATCTCTTCGAATGACCAAGACTCTGCCCTTCTCAGTATCTCCCCTTTTCCTTTGGCCCAGTTTGAGCAAGCCATGATCATATGCTTGACGTTCTGGGACGGATATCCACATTCGTATCGTGGACTATCTACTCCTGGAACATTTCTTCTGTGCATATAGGAATTGAACCCAATGTGTTCGCTTCTTATCTGCATGGCTATGCTGCTCTGGGCCCTGCTCAAGTGTTTATGGATACTGGGAGGTGTTCCTCTTTGGCTCATTCCTGTCTTTCCCGTCTTTTCATCTGTAAAGATATTTGCTGCATTCCAAGAGAGGTATGTTTATTGTACTGCTTGAGTCCGAGACTATTGGGCACATCGGGCTCGTTTCTAAACTAGGCCACGCCTTGTACAGTGCTCCTATGCTGTTTTGTTACTTGTAAGATCACTGATATATTGCCCGTGATGAATAGCAATTCAGCTCAGTATTTACCCGTGGAATTCGGCCACCTTTTCCACGGAACCTTCTACCTAAGAAAATTAAAAATGGTAGCAATGGAGACTGCGTGCGCGGGAAAAAGTCTCAAAAATCCTGTAGCCCCAGCCAGGCGAGGCCTAGACACCGGGATCACATGAGGTGCGCATATTCATCTATATCTCCCTTCTCTGTAACATCTCAGGCCGACTTGATCCAATCCACCATCTCTATACCGGGTGCTGGATACGCTCCGGAAACTCATCGGATGGCCTTTCTTCCATGATCAGGGGTTGGTGATGAGAAGGGCTCCGACCCTACCATCTGATCTGATCGTGGTTAGCTTCATGACAATAGTGATAGGTAAATGTGTTGTGAGATAAAGACGATACAGACCGCGAAAGCGATTGGGAATCCTCATCGAGATGAGGAAGGTGTTACTCAATCTCTGCTCTGCAGGCTCTACAGTGAGGGCTGGAGGTTCGTAGGGGACACCACTGACAGGTGATGAGTGTAGTCCACCTAGATTCAAGTTTGATTAGCTTCTAATAGTGATACTTGGCGCCGGAGGAATGGAAAGGAAAGATCCACGAAATCTTCAACTATCTAGCTTTGCAATCTTTTTCATAGTTATTCAATTACAATGATCATTCGAGTAAATCTTTCTAGGCCTTCCATCACCTCGGAGACGGCGATGTTGGTTTATCCTGACATCTCACCGTAATAGATGATCTTCTATTGGGAATCAGCTTCTTACCTATATTTGACCACCTGGAATATCATCTTTACCGGTGTCATAATACTCTACCTAGTATTAAACGATTTTTATGGCAATTTGTAAGCCCTACATAGAGCTTACACCAGCAGCAGTGCCATTGACAATACCGTTTTATGAATCATACATCTCGTAAAAACACCTGTCAAAACACTCGTGCATTAGCCAACTCGGGGACCAGTATTCCAATGTTCTTACAGTAAGTGAGCTGCAGAAAACGCCTAAGTGTCATGCTGTCGCTCTAAAATTTGATACAGATAGAACGTGAGCGCGTTTAGACGCTCAGCGCGATGGGGATAGAGGGAAACAGAGGAATCTTGGACTGCTGTCTTTTTCTGTTGCACGTCAAACGACGTACCTGAAAGATTCCTAGAGGAATTAAAGAATGTAGTATACCCTGCAATTATCTCTTCAATATTAAGTGCATCCGATCAATATCTCTCTCGATTTACAGCCTTTTGCATAATGTTTCGGTCAATTCTTAAGGAAATAGACGCATCACTTCACCCGCCACTAGCGAGCGCCTATTAGGACCACTCATACAACATAGTAGAAATTCGCTGGAGTCTGAGAGCTAGGTCTACCGCATAGGATTTCCAGTTTTTTTTAACGATTTAGAGCTCTAGGACTATACACTTTCGTGTGATAGTCTATTCAATATTGGATTGACATCATCAGAACGGTATATTTAAATAATTCTTTTAACCAATAGAAGAGTGAAGACGCCCAGTAACCATCAGTCTGAACAACTCCGAAATACTGCTTGAATAGTTATTTTAAACATAGACTCACATAATCATGATGATAGCTTTATTTTCTCGAGTAAAAATCTCCGTGTCTTGTAGTTTCTATTTCCTCTAACTGATCATCCAGATAAACGTGTACGCGAAGTTCCTTTTCCTCCATTACCTTCCATGTATCCCTGAGCTCAGAAAACCCTACCATTCCCCCCATCAATTCGAAGCCGAGTATGTAGAGTTCTTTAGCCCATGGACAAGCGCGAATGGCACGATACCATAAGGACTTGATCTGAGTACGTAGCTGTTTCTGATGCGCACAAAAGAGAATATAAAGGCGCCATAAACCGATAGAAGACTTAGAACCCGTAGAGGAGAGGGCATTTTCAAATGCCGCCCTGACCGAATGTATGGTACCAATTCGAAGTTCATGGCGGATAGAGAAGATCCGGGATGTAATATTATCATGCTTGGACAAAAGTGAAGTATGAAGTAGAATGTTGCGAACACGGTTATCAATCCGAAGCCGAGATTCATTCCAGCTGTAGAAAGCGAGAAAAATTGTATTTCTGGGAAAAAAGTGTATAAATGTTGTCAGTTGTTCTCGTATTAGAGCTGGGCGGTATGGTCCACTTTGCGAATAATGGTAGAGAAGACGCGCTGCAGATTGAAGGAGAAGTTCATGTGGCTTGATCTGCTGGCGTTCCAGAAGTACCTGAGCAGCGGAAGAATAGGCGGTCAGTGCGCCAGCGATATTTCTTGGGGGATCCAAACTTTGGGCCTGCCCTGGACTGTTGGAAAGATATTCGAGTATTGCCAAACCTAGCCAGTTTATTAAGATAGATAATATTTTGGAACAGGGAAACCACCCTTCGGGGTTACTTACACTCGGTATACATAACGGAAAGAGTCGGAGTTTCAAAAAGATTGTCTCTATTTGCAATTAAGTACTGTTTGGTCCGTAAGAAAAGTGCCGGTGATCTGCTAATAGAGATATCAGGAACCCCATCTGCTATGCAAAGTAAGCATTGCAACGATTTTGTGTTATTTTTATCTTCTAAATGAGCCCAGATCCAGCTTCTCCATAACATTATAGAGAGGTCATCCCGCTTATTAGTAGTGTAATTTTTCATGTTTATAGCTGTCTCAAAGACCCTATCCGCTGTGGATTTGTTTGCTTTAGACCATTCAATGAGAGCATAAGCGTGATACAGACGAAGACTTGATGGACTTTGTTTCAAGAGGTCTCGCGCCAGTTTTTTAGCCTGCTGAGGATCGTTGTAGAACTTTAACGATAGATAGTACTCAGCTAAGCTGTCATCTAACCATCTGCTAGTTAGCAATTGAAGGCTGTTCTGCAGAAATCTATATGAAACGGGACCACTATCTTTAGGATAGCGCTCATGGTGTGACCTGGGAGCTCCTACATCACGAGTTAGTTCGTAATTACACTAAATCAAATTTGTTGATAGCTGTGGATAAAGCAACATCTGGTCGTAGTAGCCCCGCGATACGCCACAAATTCTACACAATATTTCATGTAGATCCTGATTCTCATCAAGCGGCTTCTTCGTTTAGTTTTACTCTACAGGAATATTACTGCCTTAAATTATGACATACCTTTACTCGCTATAACACCCCGAAATAGAGATTCTGGGGATGACACATAATGAGAATATGCTGTAAGAGATAACCAAGGAGCTAGGTCATCATGATCTTGGCTATTATTCGGCAAAATAGACTCTTTAAGACCACAGTCGGCCTCAGCTAAGTCACCGATAATGAAAGGGTCATCCCAATATTCAGGCGGGCTATCGTCCAGATTCACAAGAGGCTGCATGCCACAAAAAGCTAAAAATGCGTTGATGCATGAATACCGAAGTTTTTTTGATTCCACTGGTAGAAGTATGAGAAACTCTTCAATATCAGAATATAAAATAACTCGAAAAGGATCATCCTCAGCTACTTCGTCCATCGTCTTGGCGGGTATTCGAGAAACTCTTGATCGCATTCTTTCAGCTGTGGCCCAACTCTCGAATAGTTTATGCTTGTCTAAAGTTTCAGGTGGTTCATCAACAATTGGGTCTAGAACGATAGATTCATCCGGGTTTTTTAAATATTGTTGCCAACCTTTAGCCCCATCCTCACCAATACGAGGGATTTCACTTTCCCAAAACTCTTTAAAAAGGTTTAAGCAATCGCTTCCCATTGTGTTTTCCTGCGCACCGCAAAAATTTATCTCTAAATTACTTTGCCATATTGCAGTCGCTAGTTCTGCGTATCCAGCTTCCCGCATGAATAGAGTCGCCCGAAGCAGTACGTATAGAAGGCCATGCATCAATCTATCTGAATTTTCTGGTTGAGTATGTACTGCTTGCGAGAGAAATTTAATACGCTGGAGATAGAGGCCTTTCAGCTCTTCAAATCTAAACTCTGAAAACGTGGTCTGCTTGAAATTCAGATACTTTGTCCAGAGAACCAAGCTATAAATGTTTTCTTTGGATATCTTTTCCCAGCGGCTGGCTTGAGCCTTTAATTCCCAAATCTTTTCGCCCTCGGTCATTAAGCCACATAAAATTCTCTCACGATTATCTAGAGAGTTTGATTTGCTCAATGCCTTTTCGTACATGTGTATTTTTATGTCTGAAGTGCTTCGCAACATTGCTTGTGTGACACGGTAACGATTTTCTGATTGTTGAATAAGACAATCTTGGTGGTTTATCAATGATAGCCAGGCCTCAATATCGTGCGGATTATCTTCGACTTTTCGACACAAAATGACATTTTTCTCCCGAGCAGATGTATCGATTCTATCTGCTTCGGACTCCATGTCATGCGAATTATTTTCTAGTTTGGATGTAATATCATCATAGCGTTGAGTAAGATCATATGTTATCGACTTTTCAAGTTTCGACATGATGCCTTTTTCGTCGCCTTGAAACTCCTCCTCTTGTCTTGGTGTACGATCGTCTTCGTGTAGCCTGAATGGCAAAAAGTTGGATTCGGAACATTCTTGTAACTTTTCAGGTGCTTGTAAGCCTGGTTTAATGTAGGTGGGTATTTTGTGACTGATTTTTGAAAATATGTACCTTTCTCTTGTAAAGTGTTTGGAGAGCCTGGCGTCAGTGAGGATAATGCACTTTTCATCCACATTTTCACGATCAATTTTTGACTCAGAGGGCGCCCCTAAAACATGGCCTGCACCGTATCGATGGTATTTCGGGACACTGTATTTATGAAGGCTCCCATACACTAGATTCTTCTCATCGCCATTCCAGTCGCTCACAAAATGGTCTCTAAGTTTGTTGTTTTGGCAAGTTTGGCTAATAGCAATCGGCCCATGAGCAATTCGGTGCGCACCGTTTTTTTGTGCATATGTATCCTTAAATTTTAGATTTTTCTCTCCCCTTTCATCTTGATGGTGTCCAATGAGGTCATTTCTAGCGTTGCTGTTAATGTGGCTTTCAGATTTGCTCGTAGCTGGCGTTGTTAGATTCGGTATAAATGAGGAGAATTTTGGTACATTATTGATCCTAGAGCTGGGCATGATAAAAAATCAGTGCAGCGCCATGATATGACGAATAGGTGTTGATTTATTTGTTTGTGCACAACGCCATTTGAGTTATACAACAACTTCTAGAAAGTCGACTGGGCACGTGAAATTTGTCAAGCGCGACTCTTCCATGTTGGAGCGCACCTATTACGAGATATCTTTGTGCGCGCTCTGCTTTACTTCAGACTAGATTCTCATTAATCTATTTAACTCTATAAAATAATCAATCTCATGTGTAGACTTTAAGGAAGTCTTTTGACACTAGTGCGTCCAAGTGTTTATTTTTCATTTACAAATCCTTCTATCAAGTCCTAACGTGCCATTAAATCTGTGACTAGAGTAATATAATAAGTGTCGGTCGGTAATATACACGTGTCTGCGTACGCAATGGGTCTCTCGATGATGTGACGACTCTTCTTGTTCTTCGTAGGTAAAGCCGTGCCAGCGTTAAGGGCGACACGCCAAGCTGCACAAATCCACGTGACAAACTTACTATTAACATATTGTGATCTCTCTCCTTACTCGTGTGCATCCCAACATAGTGTTGCGACAGTAAGAATTAATCAACCACTATCAAGTTCGTTTGCTTCTCACTAATCCCTCGCCTGCGGATTTCTTTCGCAGAGGAGCTCCAAACCTTTTTGTTGTTCAAGCATGCCTTATTGTGTCAAAAATAAACTAAAAACAACGTGCACGATTTTTTCTCAAACCATCTCAGAAATATGTCTCAAACGCAAGATCTACCAACTTTTTAGGCCTTAATTGAGAGCCAGCCTGGTCGATGTAACTATGAATGGACTAATCTGATTATGTATTGATTTAATTTGACTTTCAAGATTTACTGTCAGTCACAAATTCTGCATATTAAAGACATGATACACGTAACTGATCCCGAAAGACTCGCTACCCGCATGAACAGTTCTCAAGGGATCGGGGAAAAGAGGAATAAAGGTGTGATGTTAAGGCCTCAGTTCCATGCGCCTTACCAACACAACTCTATATCATCTACCGAGAAATCTATTTCTGTGGCTGCACATTGCCTTGCTTAAATAGTGGTTAAGCAGCTGAGACTGTAAAAATATGACAACAATCGAAGATGACGTGATCCGCTGCCTGATGGTGTTCTATGGTATAGTTTGATTAACATAGGCACCTACTCAACTTGGGAAGAAGATACCTAAGGCCACACATCGCGCGGATAAAAGTTAGTGGATGGAGGCATGTTTGGATAACTCAGGGGTCCTGAGACGTTTCCCTGGGTGGGTATTCACGGATGAGGACTGACTTAAGATGAAAGAAAAGCCAGTATAATTTCGTATTGGTACTTGCAAATAAAATCCGAGGCGTAAGTGCCCTTCTGTTGTACTGAATCAGCTGTTATGTACTTTGTCTCTGATCCTGTGTCATAGCTAGATAGCTGCATACGCAATTAAAATCCGATGCAAAAAAAAGTAGCTACGAAGATGAATGTAGTTTCCCCACATTTGCATCCATCCAAGCAAACGTGGTGCTTACTGCTTTTGCGATGCAGGTAGCTCTACCCGTGATCTTGATCTTGGCGCACACAAACATCCCAATTTCGAAAACACTCCGATAAATGCGGATCCAGCATAGTCATAACCAGCCCCAGTTAGCTTTTATCTCTTAAGTTGTGAAACTCTACCGCAACAGCGGTTGCACGTGAGACAAATCTGTAGCTTTGAATATTGCGACTTAGTTCACTTCTTACGTGTATACGTAGCAATGTAAATTTTTAGTTGAAGATAGCCGATGGCTGGCAAATTAAGTACCTGTTTGGAATTGGAACTGCAATTTGATCGATTATTTCTGGTACGATTGAAATGGAGCATTAGTGTGCAATAATAGAATGGATATCGTTAAGTCGTTAATTTTAAAAATGCTTGTATTTGCTTACATCATAAATTCGGATGCGATTCTTCTTAGAAGTCTCACATACTCCTCAAATACTGATTGTTTTTATCGGTGCTGCCTGAAGTTGAAGAAGGAATCGTAATCTGACACAGTAAGCTCACAAGTGGGTTAATTAAATATTGTGTTGCCAAATTCTGCTACTTTGGCTTAGTTGAATATACTCACGTGATAACGATAGCGAACGCTAGATTGAAAAAAATTAATCCAATCAATCTGACGATAAGACATACTTGCAGCAAATCCGGATCCTAAGAGCATGTTATCCCAATTTTGAACAATATATATGATGTCGACGTCCCTAGTAGCTCAGCTATCTGCAATAGCAGCTAACTCAGAGAATGCACTAAACCTGAAGGCACAAAAAACAAGGCACTCAAAATCATTATTATTTGACCCACGGACAGCCGCGTCTCAAAGTTTTGAAATATTATATGCAATATGCTACGAAGGCTTTCAAGAGTTGTGTCTGCTCGACAATCGATTTTTCGAGTTTCAACATGACTTATTTAGTGAAAACAGTCAAGAGAAAAACCGGTCGCTGATGTCCAAGGCTCAAAACCTTGAGCTTAATTCTCGACTAGAGTCATTTCTCGGCCTTGTTGGCAGTAGACTGAGATTGGCCCCTGCAATAAAGGCTGTTGAATGGTTAATTCGAAGATTCCGGTGAGTTTTATTTCCTACAACCTAGAGAAATTTTCATTGAGCAGTCTTAGAGTACACGAAAATAACACGTCCTTCGTTCTTCTGACATTTCTACCATACCATACTCTTCCGATATTTTCCAATTTATTATCAATATTACCAGATCGTATACCATTAGAGTTTAAGTACCTTCAGCCTTACATTCGATCTTTAACTTTACCCAAGAGGCACACAGTCGTCCAGGCAGCTATAAACCATGCTCAATTTTTGTCTGCATTCGACTCATATGTCATACAAATGTGTAATACTAGTTGCCACTATCCAGCCCTTCTCTCGTTTTGGGCCGGAATTATGACTGAGGCTGTGAGTGGTCTACTAGACAAAGCTAGATCTGGTCGGAAAGTGGTGGAGGATCAGAATTGTCAAGATGTAATGATAAGGATCTTGCCAACGTTGAATCATGGCTTCTCTATGAAAAAAGTTCCGGACTTTCGTGTCGGATGTTATATGCTGGTCACCGTTATCGCATCTAAAAGTCAATTAGACGAAAAGCTAATAACAACTATGATGGAGGCCATTGTACATGGCTGGACGGATGAAACAATCATGCCTGGCTTGGTATGTCTATCGGTACTAGCTCAGTACAGAGTTCAAAAGCAATTGACGAAGAAAGTAATAAGAGGCTTAATGAAGGATCCGAAAATATCAAACGCTCTGATAGAACTTTCCAGGAAACGTAATGTCGAGAAACTCACGAATGGCCTCTGCCTTGCTCTCATAGACCGACTACAGAAATCTATGGATACCAGTGGATTAAGCTTTATTCAACAAGCAATACAAAATGCTTTATTAAATGAAGCCCAGACCATAAATATTGTCAAGTCCTTGATACTAGTAGCATATCAACTTGAAAGTTTTCAAACTGACGTACGTGTTAAAATGGCGACTTTATTAGTTGCACTGATGGAGTTATCCGGACCCATGGGATCCATTGTTCAGAGTGCTCTCAAAGAAATTGATATAGATGTTGACGAACTTGAACTCAAGCTTCACATATCGATGCGTCCGCAATTAGCACAGGTGCTTGATGGGATAGAGATAGAAAAAACTACTCAAGATGAGACTATTCCAGATTGCACAATGGATGTTGAAAATATCCTCAAAAGTCTCCCAAATAAAACAGATGAGATATCCTTCTTATGGAACAACCCCTCACAACTATACCAAGATTTATATCAAGCGTTTCTTCTCTGTGCCTCAGATGATGAGAATCGAGACAAATTTGACCAAATTCCAATTCTAAGTAAGAGCTCTATGCCTGACAACGCGCTATATCTAAGTTTCTATATGCGGATATGGTGCGGTCCAAATCCAATTTCGGTTAGAGTATCGGCTCTTGAGATGACGACACGTTATCTATCAGCTGATACGAGCAAACTGGACTTTCAGGCGATAATCCCATATTCTATTGCCATGCTTAGTGATCCACACACCAAAGTTAGGCGAGGAGCAGCAAACCTCCTATTGGTCTTAAGTCAGCTGGCTAAACCTTTTGTTGGAATTAAAAAGTTAGAAAAAGTTCGCAAATGGGGTGTCGATAACATACACAATCCAAAATTTAAAGATGATATGTACTGGATGCCTACCGATGTCGCAGCACGGCTTATTATTGAGGTAATCACTCCTGTTCTAGAGGAATGTGTTTTAGACAAAGATCATATAGAAACTATTTTTCAAAAAACTCTGAACAGCGCAAGCTCTCATGAAATCTCAAATAATCATGATCAGTTGCGTCTTTCTCAGTCCTCTAGAGTAGCCATATTATCTTTCTTGGCTTCCCAGATTCTCAGTACCCCTTTACTTACTGTTAAGTTAAAACTACTTGCCTCTGCAAACAAGGTTCGAAGCGTAGGGAGCCTGACAAGGACTAAAGTCTTACTGCCAGCATTACAAAACTGGTCATACCTAAGCACATCTGAAGCTATTGGATTGTGTGAAATTGAGCGGCTAGAACTAACGATTATGGAAGAACAGTTCCTCATGTCCATTGCTGCCAATGAAGAAGGAATCATCTTTATAAGTAGCTTAATAAAAGGAAATATGGGAAAGCTAAGACCAACGCTAATCAAGGCAGTATTTGGCCGTTTAGAAATGTTATGGCCTTCGCTAAAAAATGGGAGTAGATGTGACATTGCCGATGTTCTCTTAGCTGCCTCTGAAGCCCAATTAAATAAAGTTGAAAGCAGTGAAAATTTGATATCCGAAGCAGCAGCAGATTTCTTGCACAAAGTACCACTCTCGACAGAAATTTTGCTCCGATTCCTAAATAGTTTATTCTCTTACTTGAAGCTCATTGAAGTGCCACCTGCGACCAAGAGACGGCGTACAAGCCATAAAGAAGCTGTTATGGCTTCTAACGACGATACGAAGTTGATAGAATCCGGAGTCCTCAAAACAACTTTCATCTTACAGCTTGTAGACGACTCGGGAGCTGAGAAACATCTTGAGCTTCTCAAGCCTCTGTTCGATATATTAGCCGAAATTCAGAACTTTAAGATTCTGGCGGCATCTGAGCTTGCCTACTTACAAGGTTTAGTCCTTGGGAGCCTCCTAGCTATATTGAAAGCCTACCGAGAAAATCAGAAGCTCAAATTAGATTGTTCTTCTATTAGGGCGGATCTTCTTGTCGACTGTATACAAAAGACAACTAGCCTTCAAACTCAAAATATCGCACTCTTATTAATCTCTTGTTTGGCCGAGATTGCGCCCCATCTGGTTCTCCACAGCGTCATGCCCATATTTACTTTCATAGGAAGCTCGATGCTACAGCAAAATGACGAATATTCCTCATACGTCATCAACCAGACCATTCGTGGTGTTATTCCACCACTTGTCGCTTCGCTACGTAAAGAAAAACAAAACCCGGCTACAAGTGCTGCAAAAATCTTACTTAGTTTCGTTGTTGCATACGAGCATGTGCCTTTTCACCGACGCAAGGGACTATTTTTGTCTCTAATTCAAACTTTAGGGCCAGAGGATTTTCTACATGCCTTTCTTGCTATATTGGTTGACAAATACGGCTGCTCTGAAAGTATTAAGGACTTTGCAGCTGAAATATTTGTCACCTTCAGCGTTGATATAGAATTACAGGCTACTGTCAAGTATATCGAGTTGATTAAAGATGTCCTGAGCCCCAACCCTACCTACTCAAGTCTCATACTTGATACAGTAGATGAAATAAACAAATCTCCAAATCAGGTAGCTGTCGCCGAACTCAACCTTCTTTCCTATCTTTTATCGCGAGATACTATTGTATTGGAAACTGGAAAGATGTTGGCCAATGACGACATGGAAGCAGCAAGAATTAGACAGGTTTATTCAACGCTCTTGGAGCATATTTTGGCATTAGCAGATACGTCCACAGAACATAAACTTCTGCGCAGTGCGTGTGGTGATGCTTTAGAAAGTATTATGAATCTACTTTCGACAAGCGAATTTGTTAAATCCGTGAAGAGCCTACTAGATCAGCCTAATGAACTATTGAAACGAAAAATACTTCGATCGCTTGAAGCCCGAATTGATGCAGAAGGGTTAACTGATAACGCCGCAAGAGAAGCAATGCTAGGATTCATGCCCCAACTTACTGCTATAATCCGGGAATCTTTAGACGTTAGATACAAGTACACTGCCATTGCTTGCGTGGACAAGATTTCTAAAAAATATGGAAAGAAGGATCTTGAGGCAGTAGCTATAGCTGCTGAAACAGTTGCCAGTCATCACTGTTTAGGTCAGCCAGATATCAGGTTAAGGGTCATGGCACTATTATCACTTGCGTCTCTACTCGACATACTAAAAGAGAGCTGCATTTCTATTCTTCCTATCGCAATACCGAAAGCTTTGGATTACTTGAAAGAAAGCCTGCAAATAATATCTGAAGCTAGCAAGCTTCAAAACGCTTGTTATGCGTTTTTTAATGCTCTTGCTCAACACTTGCCTTACATGATCTCTGGAGTACATCTTTCTCAGTTTCTCTCTATTTCAAGTGCGGCTGCAGGATTAGATGTGGATGATACAAAGAGTAGTAGAGCTCAATGTCTATCTCTTGTTGCTAAACAGATGGACCCTAAAATCCTATTCCGCTCATGGGAGCAGAACTGGATGAATGCAATTTCTCTTGGTCCTTTGGTCTGTAAGGCTTACTATTTACTGAGCTCCGCTAACTAGCAACAGGCAATTCATGAATATCTTCAGATACTTGGCATCGCTATTGATCACAAGGCAAAAATTGCAGTCACCAGAAACTCTTCAATCATAGCAAACATCTTTAAAGACATGTTCGATGTTCGGCGTCAGGTTATTACAGATTCCGACAAACGATTTTCAAAAGAGTGTCTTCTTGAAATTGAGTCTGAAATCAATGAAATTGCAATCAGGATCATATATAAGTTCAATGACACAACTTTCAGACCTATATTCACGGATTTAGTAGAATGGTCGACCGAAAAACTACCCTCAAAATTTAAGGACGGACAAATCTTAAGACAGCAAAGTCTTTATTGCTTTATGGCTATGTTTTTTGGAAAGATCAAATCTATTGTCACTAGTTATGCATCATACCTAATCGAAAATTCCGTGAAGTTATTAAACTCTGTCGATCAAGGAGATGTCCGATCTAAGGAACTCTGGTCACGAGTTTTACAGACTTTGACCCAATGTTTTGAGCATGATCAAGACGAATTTTGGCAGTCTCCGTCACATTTCGATGCTATTGCTCCCGTTCTTGTTGCACAAATTTCGAATGCTCAAAATTTGCCAATTATTCAAGAGCTTGTTCCTACCATTGTTGAACTTGCTTCAGCTGCAGACTCGGCGGACCACCACAGGGAACTAAATATATCTATTCTCAAACATTTGAAGTCTCAAAGCTCAAGTGTGAGACTAGCGGCAGTGAAATGTGAACAAGAATTAACTGATAGGCTTGGTGAAGAGTGGCTATCAATGCTGCCTGAAATGCTGCCATATATAAGCGAGTTACAGGAAGATGATGATGAGTTGGTCGAAAAAGAGACTCATAGATGGATTGTAAAAATTGAGGAGGTTCTTGGGGAAAGTCTAGACTCTATGCTTCAATAAGAGTAATCTACTCGAATTTCAACTCGGAATGTACGATTAGAGTACCAAATTTAACTTGAGTAAGTCACTGCTTGGGGTGGTATAAGAATTTAGGTCCGAAGTGGAGTATCCTTGTTTGTTAAAAATTTGGTGAATTATCGATATTAATAACAGCCGTTAGCAAATGTACTTGAAGTGTTAATATACTCTCAATGCAAATACGAAAATCTTGTTATTTTGATAGGATAAAGTCAAGTCCTCACTGCTTTAAATAAAATTATTATATACCTTCAAATCCAATAAGTGGTATTTTCTCATAGAAAGGGTATCATAAGACGGTTCTTGAACCTGCACAACATTAATTACATACTAGTGGCTTTGCATTACATGTCATTTATTGCTAGGCTAATCTACTAATCTTCACTCGTAATAATCACTTGTAACATAGATTTCGGGTGGAGGATCTTCACTGAGTCAATTATTTGGGTGTCAATTGCGTAAAGTGTACCGTTGTTGATGAGAGAAACGCTACACACATGACTTGATCCAAGGCAACGGTGCAGGCATACGGTCTTTAATAGGGATATTGAATGGGTCTGTTTAAAACTAGAGCGTCTCTTTGATCTAATCTACAAAATTTTGTCCGATCTTAGTCAACGACTGTCGAAGGCTAAGAATAACTACCGAAGAAGTTGGACAGGGAAATGTCTCGGGTCAAAAATAGGGACTGTCCATACGTACGTGGGTTGTTTGCTTCGGTCAGTGCTTGCATTCTATATTTAGAACCGCAGGTTATTTTATTCCTAGCGCATGTCTATATTTAGAGATCAATTCAATCACGATCAATGTATATCATCCTAGAACTCCGCGAGAAATAGGAATCAAGTTGTTTTTACTGATTTATCTTTTACTTTAATTACATACACTTCGCCTGTCACAGTTCAGTCTCCCAGTCACCTGACAACAACTGAATAGGAAGTGTGGGCTTCTCGGAATTCAGGCCAAAAATACCTTTGCCTAGTGCCAAGGATTCTAGCTGGATCAAAATTTTGCCCCTATCGCATACATATCTTATCCCATAGAATATGCACTAGTTGGCTAAGCTGTGCTTGCTCCATGATCTTAGTTCGGGTTGGTCCCATATGACAATGGTTGTTAGGCTCGAATAGTACTAGCTTAATTATGCTGGAAAAGACGAATTGTTCACTTTCCAGTGGTGCCGGTGTAATCGCTCAGTATGCTCTGCATATCTGGGATAGCCAAGAAGAATCGCAACCGAATCGAAGTCGAAAGCAAACACATGCATATCTCCATTTGGAGAGCAAGACTGAACACCTGTACGCGGTGTCCTCTACGAACCTGGGAGTGAAATATTCTCCCAGAGCCAAGTTCAGTCAAATTTCGCAATATCAAAGAAGTTGGCCCACGAGGCAATGATTCAACTTACTCTACCACGTCGTTTTTTCGCTCCCAACGAGTTTAACGCTTTCCTAAGTCTCATCAAGTCTACAAGTACGACCTAGTACATCCTCATCCCAATGACCACACCTCTCGTCGACTTTCTCTAGCCTCAGCCGGTCACCAAATACACGCCCACGGCGATATTTACACCCGACGGAGGAAGCAAAGCGTGGAGCACAAATCTGGGAGAAAGCTCTTTGGGATGGACGTGAGAAGAATCAGGACAAATTTACAAGATGATGCAGAAGAGGGATACGTTTTCGACGGGCGTGAAATTTCGAATTTTGGCAAAAATTTTACGAATTGAGCTTTGTGCGCGTCAAGACTTCGCTTGCGAGAGTGCAGCGAACACTATAAACACAAGCAAACGATGGAAGGTGTTGTGATCCGCCTCCTGGTGGTGTTCTCTGGTATGGTTTGAGTAGCCTGGGCACCTACTCCACTTCGGAAAGAGACACCTCAGATCACGTATCGCGCGGAGAAAAGTGGAAAGATGATGGAGGCATGTTTGGATAACTCAGAGTTTTTGAGACGTTTCCCTGGGTGGGTATTCACGGATGAGGGTTGACTTAAGATGAAGAAAAAGCCACCATAGCTTGGCAGTGGTACTTGCAAATGAAATCCGAGGCATAAGTGCTCTTCCTTTACGTTGAATTATCTATTCTGTACATTTCTTTGATATTGTGTCATAGCTAGATAGCTGCATACGCAATTAAAATCTGATGCAAAAAAAAAAAAAAAAAAAACTCCATTTGACGACTTCTCAATAATGCCACTTTTACTATTCTCATCTGAGTCCTCAGCCTCTCTCTAACCACGCATTATCTCGCCTCGACGACCAATAAAGAAGTTGCTCCAATTGCAAACATGAGCTTGCCTCATTGATTTCCAGCCATGACTCACTACATATCTACGACGCTATTTATACCCGCAAGGAGGAAATAAAGTCATAATATACAAAGTTGGGGTCTTGGTTTACGGGGGACTGCTGCTCTAATGGGGCTATGCATCTTGAGGAAGGACAGGCGGCTGATATGTGGAGTGAGGGGGGAAATAGGTCTCTCAAGACTGTGCTGGAACTGATATTTTCAAGGAGTTTTCAACTTTGGGCTTTTTGTGGGCGCCAAGACTAAGATTTCGGCTAATTAGCCAGGAGGGCTTCTTTTGTCTATGAGTCCACGGCACTCCCAAGCGCCCTGGACGGTACAAAAGAAGTCGGGCTAAGCTACCACATAGCAATCACGCTCTGTCAAGTCTTTTCTGAAATTTCAGCACGACCTTCGGGAAGGGGTTGGAAGGAGGCTAGAAAGGCAGAATGTGAATTTCCCGAGGTACCCACAAGTCTGCAGCGCCCAGCTGGCCGGCCTCTTCGAACGCATCAGAAGGATCACTATGTCTTCGGATTTAGTCCTAATGTCAGTATTAGGAGAGCCCCGCACCCAGTAGTTTTTGCAACTTTTTCCCGGCTGCCATACACCCGCAAATGGCCATCGTTTCGTTGGCTGGAGAGGTGAGATAATGATGGGCTAAGGGCTCCTCTTAGTGTATGATCGAATGAGGACTTGTGAGGGGTAGTACTGTTTGAGGGGAGCTGTATGGGAGGCATAGGAGGGGATATACTACTGGTATAGTATCCTTAGCCTGTAGGCAGAGAGGACCTGCATGTCTTACATTGTCAAAGACTCAGACAGGACAATCAAATGAATTAGTAAAAAACTAGCTTTATTATTGATATCTATCTTGGTTATCCCGGGGCGATCCGGTTGCCGGGGGTGAAAGGAAGCTCTAGCTCCGATCAAGCCAGAGTTCATGCCTGCATTTGCTGCTCATAAGCTGAACTGTTGGGAAATATACTCTATACGATATTATATGGATAAATATGATGAAGTAAAGAAGACTTGATATTTTACAACTATGTGAACATTGGACTTATATATACATCTTAGGGGAGAAATCCCCACTAGTCTCATGTGCCTGTCAAACCTGATGATGACCAGCCACCTCTCATCTACCATGATGAGCCAAGGTACACTGTAGTACGTAAATATCGAAACGAATAGGCGACAGTAGGCGCGATTAGCGCACTCGGGACGTGTGTAGAGAGAGTCGATCTTGTCGGGAACCTGAGACGAAACAGGTGATGGTTGAGTCCAAAATTCGAGAGTCAGAATTTCCAACATGAACCTATGATGTTTTGTAGGTTGTCCGAAAATATCTTCAGAACAAAACTATCTTTTAACCTTATTACTACCATGTGATATCTTCTATTTGAGCCTTGTCCTTACAACTAGAGAGGTAAATCCCCTCTGCTTCCTTTACCCCCTTCATTCTTTTTTTTTAAATCATTTAATGTGTATTCAGCTATCTAGCTATGACACATGACCGGTGCTATGTAAACATGCTGGATGACTCTTTTGATGTTAGAGACACTCATACTTTGGATTTCATTCGCAAATACCACTACGAGATATGGTTGCTTGCACAAACAGCTGTCCCTCCTCCGTGAGTACCCACCAGAGGGAATTTCAATAGCTTTAGTTATCCAAGCATGAATTCGCCATTCATGCATACCAGCGCCGCGAGAAATGTGGTTGTGTTTTGCCAGATTTGAACCAGCGATCTACTGTCTCTAGCCGGATATGTGTCCAAGCTATCCAGACTCTACTTGGCAGACCGGCCAAAACGATATACCACCGCACCATCCAACCATGACGGCATTTCCAGTGTCGCCTGCACTCTACAACCCTCATTCAATAGCACTACATAGGGGGGCTGTTTTCAATACCTGCCATATGTGTCCCCTGCGAAACTCCAGCTCTCACTGTAGAGTCTACAGAGCCAAGGTTGAGTAACGAATTCCTCACCACGACGAAGATTCCCGATGGCTTTCGCGGTCTGTATCGTCCTCGTCCCTCAACACATTTCCCTGTCACCACTATCATGAAGCTAACCAGATAGAACTATCGCGCAATGAAATTGGCGCAATATTCATGGAACGAAAGTAAAAGTTGACTAAAAGAGTGTCATGTTCGGATTACAGCTAAAACTGTGGGAAATGTGTGCGACAAGTACAAGTGTAAGCGACACGTAGCTTAAGCCACAGCATAGACGAGTGTGGCGCCATCTAGGCATAGAGACCCCCCGATAACCTCCTTGTGCCCATGCCATACAGCCGCTCACATATCCAATAGGTAGCCTGAAGCGCTACCATATTACCCATTCCAACCTCTTAAATATACACGAGATCGTGTCGGGAACCTAGACGAAATGGAGGGCCCGTACGTCCACAACACTCTGTGTCTCCATTTCAAACATAACCACGATCACATCAGATGGTAGGGTCGAAGCCCTTCTTATCACCAACCCCTGATCATGGAGGAGAAGCCATATATATAATTCATTTTTACCTGATTTGGCGCCTTGAGGCCTATGCAGGTTTTATCGGAAGATATTTACTTCAAGTAGGATGACTCATTTTGACGTATAGAACACTCACACTCGGATTTCATTTGCAGATACCACTCGAGGTTAACCCTTACGGCGTATAGCCTCTTCCGTGC